AAAAAAAAATGAAAGACACAATATTTTTACAAAATAATGTCAATAAAAATGATACTGACATATATTGGTATTGCATTAATGTATATCAATTTAATAAATGCTGAAATTGTGTAAAATTAATTCTCTATACACGATATAAAAATTGACATTTTATAATAAAACCATATACACATAGTAATTGCAGGCAAGAGTTATCGTTCTTGAAAAACTTCACAGTAGTGAAATAGGTAGCCGGATTCCTGAAGTACAGAAAAATGGACACATGCAACTCATTGATAAAAAAAACCACCTGAATTAATACCTGGATTGCTTTGAACTACTTTAATATTGAGAGAACACACTGTTCTGTCAATAATAAACATACAATATTCATCAATTTCATATTAAACATTAGAATTTGCGGAAATTGTAATACTGTCTCCCTACATTGGATTTTCAACTAGGGATGTACTTCCTATTTCCGTTTATCAATACACTCCTATGACCTTAATACCTCCGAGTCTGGAGAAGAAGATTTTTGAAATATTGGTTAATTTTCTCTTTTGGGCCCCGCCCTGGCCCCTAGGGTTGGGGTAGGAATCCCAATTTTACCATTTAAAACCATCTTCCTCCTCCAAGGATAATTCTCACCAAGTTAGAATAATTTCCAACAGAAAATTGTCAAAATATACCCAAAAGTGTTGTTTCCATATATAAACTATAGTAAACTTTACCCCCTCCCCAAGGGAGAACGGATAGCTCGGGGGTCCTAAAATTTACAATTTAAATAAACCCCCTGATGATCTTTCCATCTATGAAGAGAAAATGACTGTAATACCTCTGAGTCTGGAGAAGAACATTTTTGAAATATTGGCTAATTTTCCCTTTTGGGCCCCTAGGGTTGGGGTAGGAATCCCAATTTTACAATTTAAAACCATCTTCCTCCTCCAAGGATAATTCTCACCAAGTAAAAATAATTTCCAACAGAAAATTGTCAAAATATATCCAAAAGTGTTGTTTCCCTATATAAACTATAGTAAACTTTACCCCCTCCCCAAGGGAGAACGGATAGCTCGGGGGTTCTGAAATTTACAATTTAAATAAAGCCCCTGATGATCTTTCCATCCATGCAGAGAAAATGACTGTAATACCTCTGAGTCTGGAGAAGAACATTTTTGAAATATTGGCTAATTTTCCCTTTTGGGCCCCGCCCTGGCCCCTAGGGTTGGGGTAGGAATCTACCAATTTGGTAGCCCCATCTTCCAAGGATGATTCTGACCAAGTTTGAAAAAATTCCATCCACTGGTTCTTGAGAAGAAGTTGATAATGTAAAAAGTTTACGCACGACGCACGACGGACGAGGACGGACGGAAAGTGATTGGAATAGGTCACTTGAGCAGAGCTCAGGTGACCTAAAAATAAACCATCAGATAAAAGGACAATGTCTTAACATACGAAAAACAGCTGTATTAAATAAGTGTACTGTACATGTATACTGGGAAAATTTTCACTGCAGTTTACTTTTTGCCTTTTTTCACCCTCCATAATGAGGTGAATGTTCATTACAGCGAATATTAGTATGCAACATAAAACAAACGTTTATTTAATGTGAAGGGAGAATTTAAAACTGGAAGAATATGGATTTTACAGGTCAAGGGCGAAAGTTTGATTGGGCGAAAATTTTCTCCTATATTATCATGTCACCGATATCTCCATGAAAAACCTCTGAACAGAGATAACGTACCATCCTCGCAGTTGGTGTTGCCATAGCCAAGAGGACAGAAACACTGGTACACGTCTCTGTCAGGAACACACTCCCCGCCATTCATGCATGGCTCGCCCAGACAGGGGTGCTCACAACCCTCGATGTTCACCCCCTGGGAGGCGTCCTCCAGGAGCTGTAGAGGCTGCTCGTTAATGATGATCTGACAGACAACAAAACACAGGCTAAGGATAGAGTCTTTCAGATGATAGTCCAGCATAGAAAAGAATACATAATTTATACTACATGTACAACAATATTTTTAGGAATATTAGGAAAATCGCAGCCCTTTACCAGATTTTATCTTTTTTTCCAGCACGTTTCAAGCACAGACATAAATTCCACCATTTTTCCTGACTTGTACAAAACTTGGGTTTATCAATCATCGCCAAAAAGGTTTACTGTCATTTTGTACCATAGTTGCAAACATCGTGTGACTGTGCTCTGAAGATGGCCTCCCTTTGGCCTAAACACGTCAGCACATGTCAAGCATCACATTACGTACAGTTTTCAGTGGTGTTGTTGCTCATCATTTCTTTTTTCATAATACCACATAATGTTAACTACCTGTACTTGTTAGTTAGTTTGTTTTTATCTCCCGAGTGATGCCAGGTTACTATGCCTACCTTCTGTATACAGCCCTGGAAGGAGGTGGTGAGGTTGGCGAGTCGAGAAGTGTGGTCGTAGTTACCGTGGCCCCCGATATACAGGTCCTGGAGCAGGGTGAGCTGAGTAAACGCCCCATGAGACACACCCTCTATACGTGGCTGTTCATCCACCTCCATCACACCACGCAGACCTGTCCGGGATACACGCACCCAGTGCCACTGGCCTAGGCTTATTTCCTCCACACTCCTGGAATAGGTCAGAGGTCAAGGTCAATACTCTCGGATCAATACAAAAGTTATCAAAACAATTAACAAGAGATTAGAATGAACTAGATTGTCACATTCTCAAGAGGTTTTAAAGAGAAATCAGAGATTTGTTTTGTGGCATTTTTCATTTAATTGTTGCAGGAAAATGGCCCGGTCGGTCACCGATCCTTTTTTGATCCTCTTGATAAGGTACTGTACATTATGGTCTTCTAAAAGACAGACAATTTAATTACAGACGTGTGCTAAAATAATGGACACTTTGTCCAAAGCCTGTACCTGATGACCCCTGGCCCTGTGCCAAGGTCAAAGCAAAACTCGAGGTGCCCCTCCTTCATCGCCAATGAGAGGAAGTCACCCTTCCTGTCCAGCGTGTAACCGTTGTACAGCAGGGTCCCCTCACGACTCGTGGGTTTAAACACCATCTCTATCTGGGTGTAGGATAGCGTGGAGCGACCGAGGCCATTATGTTGTAGATAGGAATGACCACCAAACTCCGGGATGCGGACGTTGATTTCTGAAAACAATAATAATGGGATAAATATTAGTAACAAAAGAAAATGAAATATTAAATGTATTATAAGAAAATATTTGTCTCTGGCTGAGACCAGGCCTGAGATAATCTATCACCACTGGTAGTGTTACTGTAAAGAAATTAAGAAAATATGGAGAGTCTGAAAGTCTGTGGGATACAGGACCAGAAATAGAGGGTCTGAAAGTCTGTGGGATACAGGACCAGAAACCTGAGAGTCTGAAAGTCTGTGGGCTACAGGACCAGAAATAGCGGGTCTGAAAGTCTGTGGGATACAGGACCAGAAAACTGAGAGTCTGAAAGTCTGTGGAATACAGAACCAGAAATAGAGGGTCTGAAAGTCTGTGGGATACAGGACCAGAAATAGAGGGTCTGAAAGTCTGTGGGATACAAGACCAGAAAACTGAGAGTCTGAAAGTCTGTGGGATGCAGGACCAGAAATAGAGAGTCTGAAAGTCTGTGGGATACAGGACCAGAAACAGAGGGTCGGAAAGTCTGTGGGATACAGGACCAGAAATAGAGGGTCGGAAAGTCTGTGGGAGACAGGACCAGAAAACTGAGAGTCTGAAAGTCTGGGGGATACAGGACCAGAAATAGAGGGTCTGAAAGGCTGTGGGATACAGGACCAGAAAATGGAGGGTCTGAAAGTCTTTGGGATACAGGACCAGAAAATGGAGAGTCTGAAAGTCTGTTGGATACAGGACCAGAAAATGGAGGGTCTGAAAGGCTGTGGGATACAGGACCAGAAATAGAGGGTCGGAAAGTCTGTGGGAGACAGGACCAGAAAACTGAGAGTCTGAAAGTCTGTGGAATACAGAACCAGGAATAGAGGGTCTGAAAGTCTGTGGGATACAGGACCAGAAAATGGAGGGTCTGAAAGTCTGTGTGATACAGGACCAGAAAATGGAGGGTCTGAAAGTCTTTGGGATACAGGACCAGAAAATGGAGAGTCTGAAAGTCTGTTGGATACAGGACCAGAAAATGGAGGGTCTGAAAGTCTGTGGGATACAGGACCAGAAAATGGAGAGTCTGAAAGTCTGTTGCGTACAGGACCAGAAAATGGAGGGTCTGAAAGTCTGTGGGATACAGGACCAGAAAATGGAGGGTCTGAAAATCTGTGGGATACAGGACCAGAAAATGGAGGGTCTGAAAGTCTGTGGGATACAGGACCAGAAAATGAAGAGTCTGAAAGTCTGTGGGATACAGGTCTTCTTATTCCTGGTTTTCACTGGCTGTAGTTTTACATTTATAAATTGGATGTTCACAGAGACCTGCGTTAGCTGTAAACATTTCTCACATGATTCCAACAAGTCACCATTCATGTTAATTTTAAAACAAACAATGAACATTGGAGATAAGAAGCATTCTTGATAAGTGAACTAGAAACATATAAACATTAAACTGCATAGGAAATCATCAAAATGAAATTGAAATAACTGCTGTTTTCATATAATTTAACGGTCTATCTGAACTGCTTAATTCCAATATTTGAAAATGACATTGAGTATACACATGAGACAAAGGTTGTGGAAGCCTTAGAACATCTTCCTTTCACTGTGTTTATACCTGTCTAGGGCTGCTTTCATTTATCGCGATCTGGTTGAACCAGAGTTGTTCATTTATGAAATAAGTTCAGACCTAGAAATCTGATGCTGGTTTCAGGCGAGCCTTGACAAAGCCTACGCCAGGATTTATACCTTAAAGTGTTATGTCTAACAAGCCGTTCAGATTGATATGTCTCGCCTGTGTCCCGCTTTGACCATCAATGCACATATCAAAGAAACTAACTTAAACGCCAAAACTTAATGTTGATGGAGATGCTGACAAAGTCAATGGACCATGAAAGGTAGGTTGCATCCAGCATTTGATGCATGGGTTCAGATGTTGTATCTAAGATGCATCTATGGTCCAAGTTTGGTTGCTCTAGCACTTATACTTTCAGTAAAACTAACTTAAAAGCAAAACTTAATGTTGACGCCACCGTCGTTGCCGGAAAAGCAACACCTTAGTCTCGCTTCCGCTACTTCGTGGCGGCGAGACAAAAACAGACAAACTGGTTGTTCCTCATTTACTTACAGGCCCAAGCTTTGTGATATCCCGATAATGTAAACACATTTGTCTATAAGTGAGGTTGAGTTATCTCCCCTCATACCTAGTGATACAGATGTGTTGGTCCATGGGTAAGACCTACACTGGAAGCCTATGTTCTTGATGTTTTTCGGAACAATTAATCTTGGTTATGGCTATTTAATCGACAGAAAACTCTGAAATTATGCTTAATGAGCTTTATCAGTCTTACCCACTTCTTGTCCCGGAATATCCCAATATATTTTGTGACACCTGGATCGTTTCAACCATATATATAGGATCCTACACGAGTTTCCATTTCATGTGAGATATATGAAACGAGTCTAGGAATTTTTCAATTTGAAATTCGAAAATTGAAAAATTCGTGACGAGTTTCATAAATTTCATATGAAATGAAAATGAGTATAAGATCCTTTTTATCACATAATCAAAATTTGTGGCATCTATTCGTGCAAAACGAGAATTTTCATGCAACCTTGAATTATGAAAAGCTGCCATTCTGACTCCAGTGCGTAAGTCTGTGACTTCATGTACTTTTCCTAGGCATAACGTCAGAGTTGAAACAATTGAAACTTACAACCAATCACAGAGCTGATAGGTCATATTACATGGGTTAATACGCAAAAAATCTAACAGTGTTATATTCACCGGATAACACAGTACATTATGTAATAAAAACAACTAATACGTACCGTACTGACAGTTCTCTCCCCCTGTTCCCAGAGGACACAGACAGATGTGTTGGTCTGCTGACTTGGCCACACATTTACCTCCCCTGGCACACTGCACCTGGTTACATACCCCTTCACTGCACTCGCCTGGACGAGAAAATAACAATATTTACATCCAGTTTCTGTGTCTAATAGGTAACAACACATCTAAACCTGCCCTGTCATAGCTGTGTGATCAAGGTTTTACTACAATACTCAGCCTATGTTGGCTACAGACAAGATGATCAGGGGAGNCAGGGGGGAAAAAAACTTGGGGGGGGGGGGGGGGACCCCTGCTGTTCGTGATCTGCATGATTTGTCCTTCTCCAGGTAAACCAAGTTTCAATATTGTTTATTTTTAATTAAAATTCAATCAATTTTACTTCTACAGTTAAACATGTTGACTTCATATGACTATTTATTTATGTTTTACTGAGGATGACCTGAAATTGAGACTGGTCAGCCAGGGCTCCACTTTGTACCAGACTGGTCATTAGTAACTGTGATCTTGACCTTAACCTTAGAAACCTTTTAATCCCCTACTGCATATATATACCTGTAAATCACAAAGTATTATCATGTCGTATTTCAAAAAGATCAATCTTTTAGATTCTAAGATAAAGACTGTCACTAGTCCCCGATGGTCTATTTTTAGAAATGGTGATCTTGACCTTAGAAACTTTTTAAACCCCTTTTGCTTATTTAGATGTCGAAATGTTTCGGCATGTCAAATTCCAGGATTTTGAGATAATCTCCTGAAACAGACAAGTGGTGGGACGGATTGAAGGACACTGTGATTACTCTAGGGCACCCGCAAGTCTGAAGCTGGGGCCCTGACTTGAACATAGATATGTTTAAAAAGAGTTATAACGATGACTGATTAGAAGTATTTTCCGACACACATATAAAGAACACAGTAATAAGTTACTTACCAACGTTGATGCCGAACAGCGTGTCTCCGACTAACTCCTTTTTTCTCAGGTCGTATCGGTACTCATTGATGGTGATCTCCTGTACACAGCCCACGAAGGGTTTGGTAATGCCAATGCGTGGTAACATGGAGGTCATGTTCCTGTAGCCACCAACATACACTGGCAGACTCAGTGTGATCCGGGAGTACGCCCCCTTGGAGAAACACAAATATCACTCAGATGTACGATGACAGATCATTAACATTCTCATTCTATATTCAAGAAATATCTCCAGACACAAAACTTAACAGTTTCTGCTTTGAACCATGTCACTCAAGTCTAACATGGAGTGACCTATATGCATGTATTATAGCATTGACCTCAGTAATACAGTATTGACCTCTTTATCACAGCAGTGACTTCTGTAATACAGTATTAACTCTTTCACTCCTGTGTAACTTTAGTAAACTCTACCATACATTGCCTGGGATGAGTTCATTACAGTCAACAGTCACAGGTAAGAGGGTTGATTTCTGCACTACAGGAATGACCTCTGTATTACAGCAATGACCTCTGTATTACAGGAATGACCTCTGTATTACAGGAATGACCTCTGTATATATTACAGCAACGACCTCCATATTACAGGAACGACCTCCATATTACAGGAATGACCTCCTTATTACAGGAATGACCTCTGAATTACAGGAATGACCTCCGTATATATTACAACAATGGCCTCCAATTCACAGCAGTGACCTCTGTATTACAGGAATGACCTCTGTATAACAGGAATGACCTCCGTATTACAGCAATGACCTCTGTTTTACAGGTATGACCTCCGTATTACAGCAATGACCTCTGTATTACAGGAATGACCTCCATATTACAGGAATGACCTCCGTATTACAGCAATGACCTCTGTATTACAGCAATGACCTCTGAATTACAGGAATGACCTCTGTATTACAGCAATGACATCTGTATTAGAGAAATGACCTCCGTATTACAGCAATGACCTCTGTATTATAGCAGTGACCTCTGTATTATAAGAATGACCTCTGTATTACAGCAATGACCTCTGTATTACAGGAATGACCTCTGTATTACAGCAATGACCTCTGTATTACAGCAATGACCTCTGTTTTACAGCAATGACCTCTGTATAACAGCATTGACCTCTGTTACAGGATACATTGTAGCTATGACTTATGTATTATAGGAGGGACCACCACATTACAGGAACCACCTCTGTATTACAGGAGTTACCTCATAATTACAGCATGGACCTCTGTAATACAAAATTGACCTTTTTTTTTAAAGAAGTCACCTTTTTTTTGTATTCATTTCAACAAATTGTATTCATGATGGTATATGAATGGGATCGAAAAACAGGCTATGCTTATATCAGTTCTCTCCTGAAAAGGTGACTTTTGTACTACAGGAAGGACTGTTAAATGGGGATCAGACACAATCAACCCACATACATATACATTAAGTAACCTGGCAGCTGTTTTAGCTACATCATGTTTGCTTTAAGCAGGGATCCAAAATCTTGGAAATCAATACTTGATTTTTTCCTGGTGCTTTTACGATGTGTAGAATTGCAGGTGTACAACCTGAAGGAATTTCCACCTTCAAACAAAGTTCTTTAAATAAGCCGCAATATTGCGTAAGTATAAATTGTATAAACAGCAAGCATGTATGCGCTCAACAGTTGTCCTGTGTTGCATTTGATTGATCTACAAAGCCACAGTCATTGAAGGTAATTTGCATTGGAAATGTCCCAGACATCAAAACAGCACAAATGTAAAACTCAATATTTGGACGAAGCGTGCCAATTTTCCACTTGAATTTCCGTGTGTGCTAGCTGCTCACTTCAGGGGTTTAAATGCAACAAACTAGAAGTACAGTTCCTGCCTTCAGTGACTAACAGACTAATCACGGTGTACTTTATAAAACTAGAGAGCACACTGGCGCATTGTCTTCTAGCAGCTAAATGTCGGCCCTAAATGCTGCTTTTATCTGTGTTTGCTGTCATCAAGGCAATCTATAATATTCTTCTAAAACAGTAAAGGTGGCATGTGGCCTGTCACCTATATGGCATAGGATGCAGAATATCTCGAGGCTGTATAGAGAGTCTTTAACAAACACAAGCCTGTTACTTCTACATAGCATGAAGCCCACTAGGATGTCATACAATTATAATGTTCAATATTTATACTGTGTACTGGAAAATGTTGCCCCAGTTAAGTTATTGTCGCCCCCTTGATGAGGGCAAATCTATCATGACAGTAAACGTTAGTAAACAACATATAATAGACGTAGTTATTAAGTGTATGGGGCAAAATTAAAACTGGGCAAATGTATATTATACCAGCCAACGACGAAAATTTGACTTAGGTGGAAAAATTCCTGGTATATACTTTCTAAATTTATAGTTATTGATTATCTGAGTGAATCTCCATAATATTTGAGATATTAAAGAGTCTGTATTGTCAGTGCAAACAATATTCCTGGAACGGCTTGACATCATCTAAATGTTTGATTATTTATGACGGTCTCACATTGAGGGGGTTGAGAAGCTTTGAATTGACACTTATTACATGGCCCTATGGATTCAATTTCTTCTTGTAGTGTTCATATAGGGACTTGCATTAGGAATATAAATATATAGAAATGTATCAGGCAAATGGAAGTCTTTCTATTATACCCTTCAGAAACATGATAATAATGCATCAGTCATTAACAGGTGACAGTGAATATGACAGTGAATATTGTCAACCCGAGAAAACCATTGTCACCCGAGGCGAGCCGAGGGTGACACTGGGTTTTTGAGGGTTGGCAATATTCACTGTCGCCTGCTAATGAAAGTCATATCTATTTTGTTACACCAAAAGTCTTTAAATAAATATTCATCTTAAAAAAAAACCTTCTACACATCTTTGTCTTATATTACTATCCTCGCCTAGAAACTCTCTGAATACCCGGCAACTTCCTTTAACCACCCTCTGAGTGTTTTTTGAGTCCTTGGAGGAAAGAATCTTCTCCATATGTAGCTCAGAAACGGCAGCAAACTTTGATAATGACCTCTTGTTTGTTGATAGTCTGCTGTTTACAATTGCTATCGCACTGGCGCTTGATAAAATTGGCTGTTGCCGTCAAACGTTCTTGTGACCATCATGGTGGGGAAACGAAGCGGTGAAAAATGGACACTGAAGAACCCAGAACGCACATTTTTCGCGCATGTAATATTTTTCTCTGTCTCATGGCAATATCACGCGCGCCCCTTAAAACCACTGTATTTTGGAGGGTGACAGAGATTTTTGTTTAATTTTCTCCCAACCAATCAAATAGCTAGAAATTCACTTGAGGTGTAACAACAACATTTGTTGCCCTGAGTTTAATCAATATACAAGCACTGTCAATTGATGACAAAACCATGACATTGTGGGGTGACATTACAGACTGTCACACTCTAATATATTATTTATTAACGCTTTTACCCTTATGTAACTTTAATAGACTCTACCATACATTGATATTGATGAGTCTATTATGGTCTACAGGGGTGAAAGGGTTAGGAATACCTTGGAGAAGCCGACGACCATCTCGCCGTCATTCAGTCGGAGAGAACCCTCGTTGTCCACCCGGCGAGCATGTACCCTGTTCCAGTTGCCCATGGTGACCTGTACTTTACTTCTCAATATGGCTGGGCCTGTTCCGCAGTCATACCTACAACACAGAGGGTAGCAAGTGCAAATTGTAACACCTGCCTGTACTCACACTAACTCATACCACAACAGCTTGACAACAATGTTAATGAAATATCTGTCTTGTCTGTCATCAATATTACACACACTGATATCATAATTCTAATAATTCCAATTAATACATTTCATTTATTTTAAGAATCAAGCTCAAAAGTTTCCGTTATATGGTATAAACAGGCTGATGTATTGTAAATGCATGTACAAATGTCAAAAACATAAGCATTACTCCAAAATTTTTCAAGTGAATTTTTTTTTTATTTAGTAAGAAACGTCACTTTTTATTAGTTTTTCCTTTTTTTTCAAATTTCGAATCATTTACTACATTTCTACAGCTTATGACGAATTTTCATATTTTCGAAGTTTAGTTATACAATGTACAATGTATCACAAAAGGAAAGCGCATTGAATAATGTTCTTCTAAACATCTTCAGAGGTTGTCAGGTCAAAAATGAATTCTAGTAATTGATAACCGTGAAGATTTATTTAGACTTGGGATGGCCCCACAGGTCGGTTCATGTCGTCCCACTGTCTTCGGTATGTCTTTCATTTTATTTACTACATTTCCTAAAATACCATTACATAAATAATTCCTAAAATACCATTGCATCAATAAACGTTGCATTTTATACGTAGGCCAGAACGTGTACATGTCATTCCATTGTTTATCTTTTGTCTTATAACGCGCGTATTGAGGTTCACGGAGAGCAGATGAGGTCTTACCATGCCACAGACAAATCTGTTGTCATCAATAGAACCTAGCTTATCACAACACCACAATACCAGTCAATTAGCAAGGTCAGTGCTAGATCCATAGACTGCAGGATCTGGGGAGATTCCCAAATGTTTGTGTTTCCAAACAAGACAAGAGCTGTTGGAGAACCATCAAGCTTTCCTATTTGATGTTTATTCAAACAAATCTTTTACTCCCAAATTGTTTACTTTCTTTCTACAGCAATGATCCCTCAGGAATATTCATGCTAATTATTACCATCTTAGCAAAACTATTGAATTGTATATTTATAGCTAATTTCAACAATTGCACAAGAAATTAAACCACAAGATATTGGCATAAAAGGATTGTCCGCAACAGGTGAACAAACTAAAATTGAAATAACTTTTCATTTTTGACCTTTCTGCATCAATGTATGATCTCTCTGAGGAACCTCTATGCCAAATAACATTACGCAGTTTAGTACAAATAGTGTAGGTTATATAAGTGAATTTAAATATTATCATGCAGAAAATTAAATGTAAAAATCTGGGAAAATATATTTTGGTCCAAAACAGGTAAATAAACAAAACAAAACAAAAATTTAATCAAATTGTACTGCATCAATATTTGACCTCTTGGACTTATCTTTTATTTTGTTAAAATATCAGCATTTTAATACAAATACTGAAGTTAAATTTAAGGAATTTGAACAGTTGCACCCAAACCAACACACTACTAGATGTTGACATCACCACATAAGTTCACGCTATACTTCAAATAGGCGATCTAAAACATGTAGAAAAATTCATGGGATGTGGGAGGTAGTGGTTGGCTAATAGAATCTCTCACCCTCTTGGGGGTGCGATAGGGGAATCTCAACCCGAGGGGGAAGATTCTTAAGTTGCCAAACACCCACAAGGGGGTGAATGATTCTTTTTCTCTTACCCTGTTCTCCCATTGTGTATCATATCCATTGTGTATCATATACCCAATGTAATGATAATGTTACATGCTAAATTCAGGGTTGAGGGGGAAGATTCTTAAGTTGCCAAACACCCACAAGGGGGTGTGTTGACGTGACGTCATTGCATTGTTGAAGTGACTTCATACCATTGTTATGAATAGGGGAATCCCCCCGTCTCAACCCTAGGGTGAGACAAGGAAATCTCACACCGGTAAAAGTGTGAATACACCTGTCCAGGGTAAGAGAATGTGACATCCCAAACTCCTATGTAGGTATTCAAACAGAAAGGATCTCTGAGCATGAAAGAAAATTGATAAGAAAAGTCTGATGCTGGGAGAAGGGACATTCTTGCTAGAATTCCAATTTAAGTCGATATGTTGAATGGTGGAAGGACGGTGACAGTTAGAAACAAGGCTACTGTAGCGGAAGAATTTAGTCAATCAGAAAGGTCAAATGTGGCAAACATTTATGCAATAATCAATGATATTGGAGCAAAGAGAGTGATAACATCATCATAAAACCAATGTTATCGAGCCCTGTGGTCTAATCACTTATTCCTCAGGCCGTCCTTAGCCATTAAGTTAACTTCACTTACTGCTGACAGTAGTCTTTTTGATACAAACAAAATCAATTTAAAAACTCTTTATGAATATAAAAGCTACACCAATTACTGTGTGTCTAATCATGGAGCTACTTATCTCTACCTCTACTCTCATTGGATGTTTTGTTACCCTTCCTCCCCAAAGTACCGGACCACATACTTCCCTGTAAGACTCTCTAGGGAGGGAGGTACGTAAGTGGAGCCATTGTGGTCTTCGTGCTCGCAGTTCATTATCAGTCCTATCATGAGCAATTCTGACTCTGTGATTGGCTAAACGGTCCGCACTCTTTGATTGTGTGCATAGCATAACCAAAATACCGACACTTACAAATTGACGTTATTTGGCAAATGTCATACGGTTTGGTTTGGCAGCCTGAATGAGGCAGTAACAAGGAAGACAGTGACAGGCCCCCTGCTCATCAGTGCTGCTCCAACCACAAGCATGCTGCCTACAGTCATCTGGGGGAAAGATCTATATACAGAACTATTTGTAAATTGTCATCAAAATTTTACTAAAACTGTGCCCATTTTCTAAAATCAGTGCCATTATGCCAATCAACACTCCCGATCCCTTAGTGATTACAATCAAAACACTTACATGGGCAATCATCCACTTTGTGGGCTTAGCTGAGAATGAAACCTTGTCTGCTGATTGAGCTGTTATGCTGCTGTGACAGGGACCTATTCGCCACATGTCTATATCACCATGCCTCTGATTGTAGGCTCAATGGCCGAAAATTGCAGGCCTATTTTCTTATTTTGTTGGTTGAATGTATTTGTAGGACAACATTCAGTATGAGTGGAGATATACTTAAACTCCAAAAGTTAAATACATTTCCCACTCCCTGCATGACGAGTCTTCTACCAGTGACTACATGTCAGTTTTTTTACCACAAGTGGGTCCTGGCTGCTTTTCACCGCAAGTGGGTGCTGGGTGGCTGGGATGGTCTCAGGAGGATATTTGACTATAATATCCGATCTGTGAAATAGCCGCAGACAGATTTTACCACATTATGTAATAGATAGCAACAGTAGTTCTAGATCCATGCTTTTGGCCTTAGCCGTTCACCAGGGAGGGAGTGGTCCACACCCTTAACTTCACATCCATATTTGAAAATACCAATTATAACTATATAAAGAAGGCACTGCATGCTGTTGACGAGCTCCAACTGTCTTACTGTGACTTCCCCAGCATACATAATGTATGACTACGGACTAATAAAATCAGCAGCAGCAGCAGCGGGAAGCTAAACTGTCTACAGCTCCAAATATGGCTCATATTTCCAACTTCAATTTCACAAAGAATCTCCCATCTCAAAATAAATAGCACAGCAGTATAGACAGGACTAGTGTCCTTGACCTTTACAATTTCTCATCTTATCATGGCAGTATGGGAAGCTACTACTGGCCTTGACCTTTGACATATACTGTCTCATTTTACTCACTACAGCAACTAGTGGTTTTGTACCCCTAACCATTTACTGTGTTATCTCAACAGCATAGAAACATACAAAAGATTATGGCATTAACCGTCTTACTCTAGTGTCTTGCGGCCATGTTTATTTTTAAAATTCATCTTTATTTATTTTACAATAATTGTGAAACAATTTCTATCGACTGATATTAATCACTCATGTTGGCCGCCAGATGCGGGTAGCGGGCAAGGGGTCAGAATTTGGGAGGGAAAAGGAGAACACCCACATGGCTGAGCAGGTGAACCCATACATTTCACGTGTTGTCCGGGAATCAAACCACATCATCTTGGTGAAAGACAAGTGCGGCTACTATTGGAATAATCTTATCTATTTAGGTTGAAATTTTGTATTGTGTCTAATACACTTATTTCCCTCCATCCCCAGCCATCTAGTCCCATTGCTGGTTTTGGGCAGTTTAAAACAAAAATTTACAACTGACATGGATAGATACACATGTAAACAGGGACACTTACACACAAAGATGTCGATGGACGAGAGAAATTGATCAGGGAATTACGGATATGCACACAGGTGTACAGATAGATACACATGGACAAACAGAGATACAAAGAGACACACAGAGACACAAACAAATGTACTGAAAAAGACACATGGACATAGGGACAGAAACACCGGGACAATTAACATTAACTCAATCACCCCTGAAATTTCAGAATGAACTAGTCCAGCCTTTGAATTGGAAGAGTTCACATGTGTCTTCAGGGGTGAATGAGTGAAACTGGACAGAGAAACCTCATGCAGACAAGGACAGACAGATACACATGGTCAGAGGGACAATGGACATGAATACTGAGACACATTAACTTACTAACAGAACCACAGACAGAGTAGTTAGGTCTGTGATGGGCTACGTGGTCCTGTGAGATCTCTCTATTACTAAAGTATAATGTAATCAATGTCGCTGTTGTCTTCAGGTCCCCAGGTAATGTCACACAAACTAACCCAATCGCTGACCTGTTAGGTGACAAGAATAATTTGCTGCCAGTGTTACAAAGGGCTGGCCTAACAGCCGGGGCATATTGCGTCATACCCGATGTGGAGAATGTTTAATTGTGGACAGACGCTATTGTATTTTGCGTAAATTCAACACCTTTGGATTCATGAAATAAAATGTGTGTAAAATAACAAAGTTTCTGTACATTGAATACTGTATATAAAAAACTTTCGCGCTTTCAAATATTCGCCCCAAGATTTCTGATAAAATCCATGTTTGCCCAGTGTTAATTTCGTCCCTCATATGTCATTACTATATATTGCTTGGTGTGAACTAAAATTTGCTGTCACTTGATAAATTCAACCTCATTTTGGGAAGGACAGAAGGCAAAATTTAAACTGCGACGAAAATTTCCCCATATAAAATACAGCAATAGGGATATTAAAACAAACCTGAACTCCACGTATCCATCGATGAGGGCGACAGAAAAGAAGTCGGACTTAGCGTTGGTGTTCTCAGCTGTGAACAGCAGCAAACCGTTGTTGGCCTGGGGTTTGAAGTCTATCTGGATGTCAAACTCTTTGTAGCCAGACTTCAGTACAGGTAGGGCAAGGTAACCGTTTCCCAGGAACTTAGGGAATCGTACCTCTATCTCTGAAATGCACAAAGTGGGAAGTTATAGCTATTTCATTTGTATGAGGTCTGAGTATGTAGGGTATAAACTAGTGTGGATAGGATAGTTGTTCTTGCAGTGTATATAAAGATAAACAAGAAGACGCTGTCATGGATATCCCCCGCTCGCACTGCAGAAGTCATTAAAAACATGAAGTGTAAAATATAGGTCAAATTCCGAATACATTAATCAACATAGCAAGATATAGATGAGTTAGTGGGGAATATAGAAATGGGGTCCGTCCTTTCGTCCAGCCATGCACCTGGTAAAAAATAACAAGAATTCCACGGGAGTGGATGCGTCGCCTGCCCAGTAAGAAAAGCGTTTTGGCTTGAGTTATTGCGTAAACAGATATGCCAAAATGCGGAAAGTTGAAACTCGACAGAAAACCCCAGGATATATATTGAACATTATTGCTTCTATCATTACCCTACAAAATTTGAAAGGAATTGATTAAAAAATATAAAAGTTCTTGCATTTACTACACAATGCCCTTATTTGGCAATAAAAGGGGCATAACTCCACCAAAAATGCACGTAAACTTCTGAAATGCGAACGTTTCCGAGCTATATTGGTATACAATATGTGTACCAAGTTTAATTCAATCAACTCAAGGGAACTGAAGTTATCGCACGGAAACCTTGTTTTTTTAGACGACACAACCGACGCCGACAAAGTTATACCTATATGTCGCCTCGCGTTGCAGGCGACACAAAAACCATGAGACAGTTGTTGTGGGCCGGGTATGAGAGAAAAATGCAGTGGGAAAGACAAGGGTATTGGTTTCATCTAAAGAAACTGTGCGTCAAAGAAAACTAGAGTGGTAAGGACAGTTGTTGTGTGTTTATCTGAAGATACTGATACAGAGAGACACTAGAGTGGTGAGGACACGGTTTGTTATGTCTAGGGAGACCAAAGCTAGTGTACAGGGAGGACATGTTTATGTGTAGGAAACTTGATGATGTGTTAACATGCTGTCAAACTGAACGCAAATCTCTGTGTCACTCGCACTCTTGTTTCACAGAGTTGACTGTAGAGCTGACGGCAGAAGCCTAGTGCTGTATCAGGCTCTACTGACAGATACAGATGCTGCAAACTCTAACTTGACTAATTCAAGTAACCTGTCTGTTTTTGTGTTGCATCTTGCCTGTTTAGTGGATAATCTGGAGTTATTAATGCAGGGGGAAGCCTTTGTGCACCGGTACCTGGGATCACTAATTTAACATTGACTTTTCAATCACGGCCAAATCACTTAATGTTACTTCCACTACTCAATGTTTCCCTGCATCAGTCTGTAACCCACTCCATACTTATTAATTAACACACCCATACACCCAGTCAAATCCTCAGCTAATCACCACTGCCCGAGACCCTGGCTTGGCTTTTCCAATACAAGTTAATTTTGTTTGGAATGAAATTGCTAGCTACCTTATTTCTCATTACGACACAAACTTGATCTGAAGACCCACAAAACTACTGGCAAATGGATTAAAGTCAGGATTAATCAGATCACAAGTGCTAAAAACTGTCAGACACCCCTCGACGCACAGGTTATACCCCAAATGTACAGAAATAGGTTCAAAACCTGTGACACTTATGCGGATGTAAGACAAAGTCCCGTTATTCGTGTTTGTATTTTCATATTACAGCACTTATATTTTTGTAGAACTTAATTTCCCAAAATTCACAGTTTGATTCCAATCCACAAATCCAAAGCTCTTGCAAACTATTTGCTAAAAGGAAAACCATCATAGAAGTGAGTGCAGAACAAAATCACACTAATTTGATGAAGACTGTCAAAACTCCAGCTTGTTGGATCCAGGGAAAACACTTACCAAGTGTTTTAATGTTTTTTGGCAGGAAAACCATGGTAGGGAAGGAATTCTACTGTTTAACGACTATATCTAACCCTTGTTGATGAACATATTTTGTAATCCCTGATGATGTACATGATAGCATTTTGTAGGCCCTGACAATGTACATATTTTTTAGGCCCTGATAATGTACATATTTTGTAGGCTCTGATATAATGTACATGATATTATTTTGCAGGCCGTGACAATGTACATAGTTTATAGGCCCTGATAATGAACATATTTTGTAGGCCCTGATAATGTACATGATATTATTTTGCAGGCCCTGACAATGTACATATTTTGTAGGCCCTGATCATGATGATGTAATATTCTGTAAGCCCTGATGATGTACATGTTTTATACAATGTTCAGGGCCAATCCCACAAATAATCGTATGTCTTCAATCAGTTCCCATTCCGTTAATCACCATGTGTGCTTCTGCTTGCTCCAGCTTCGGCTCAACAAGGCAGTTCTATGGCTCAATTGCGGCTTACGATCGCTCCACTGGTGACCAAGTTTTTAGCAGATATAATTACATCATGACTCTAAAAACAACCATTAGCTAAACAACAGCATACAAAAGACTAAACATGGAAATAATTTACGAGTGAGGGATCTATTTCACAGAACATTATACCTCTGCGATATCCAGCAGACGATCCCTTTGTTTGGGAAGTCAATAACAAAGTTCTACATGCATTCATTCCTGTTACTCTCAAAATATGAAATTGAAGCAATACACAATACACACACAATATCTCTACAAGTTTTTTTATGTAGAACCTATTAATATTGAATCCTATAGGGATGTATCTACTACCACATTTCCAACGATCAGCACCCAGGGCCCTCTGCCAACAACATCTATCAACTACTACCACATTTTCTGAGCCTTGCATATAGCAAATACTTTATACCAGCAATTTCATTTTTCGCCCGCTGTAATTTGGAGGTCTTACTCATTACCCCGAACAATTGTATATACATAGTAATTAAATGTGAACAGCAAACATAACAAGAGGCCCATGGGCCTTAACGGTCACCTGAGTCCTACAGTATTTATTTTTTGTTGTTGAAATATCAAGTGGAGATAATGATGTTAATCATCCCTACCAATTTGAGTAAAAAATAGTTAGGTATAACGTTAAGTTAGGTTTGTCAGGACCATGAGTTGATCATTCCTAGGCCGAGTTTGAATTTAATCGGCCTATTAGAACTTTATTTTAAGTTTGAAATAGTTTATTTTCAAAATGGCTGCTGTGGTGGCCATATTGGATTCCTGATCGACCCGAAAAATTACAACACTTTGTCAGAACCATGAGTCAAACATTCCTACCAAGTTTCAGTTAAATCGGCTCAGTAGAACTTGACTTTTAAGTTTGAAATATTAGTTTTTCAAAATGGCAGCCATATTTGATTTCTGATTGACCCGAAAAATAACAGCACTTGTCAGGAAGATGTCAGTAACATTCCCATGAAGTATCAATGAAATCTGTTGGACAGTATTTCAGCTTAAGTTTTGAAAGTTAACGGCTAAAGCTCAGGTGGCATAATTATAATAAAGGGCAAAAATGGATTTTTCTGTCCAAGGGCGAAAATTTAACTGGAGGAACATTTCCTGGTACATGTATATACAGTACCACATTTCTCACAATCTGGACCTGGTCTACAACACTTTATCATTCTGTCATGTAGTATTCTGTCATGTAGTATGAGAGGTTTCCTCGCTTGCCCTTAAACCCATTACATTAATTCTTTAAGTTAACAATGATTTAGGACACATACTACATTCATTCTATTTTATACACATTGTTAAGTCATTTTCATAGAGAGGTGGGGCATTTTCCCCAGATCATGACCATATAAGCATGCACAGGTTTTATTAACACCAAAAATGTAGAAAAGATGTAAAAAGTTCAATAATGTTTACGATGCTATAATGACATGTACGTATGCAGATACTCACGTTTTTCACATCTGCGTCCTGAGGTGCCTATGGGGCAATTACACCGCACAATGCTGCGATCTACCAAACAGGTACCGTTGTTTTGGCAGACGACACCGTGGCAGCTGGGGCGATGGATCAGAGACAGTGGCTCCCCCACACCCTGTATCACATCACTGTGCGTGTCTTTCACTGACTTTTCCTTGAGGTCAAACATTTCGGCCATAATGTGGTCATTTGTGTCCAGTGCCAAGTCATGGCCATTGTCTCGAGACAAAGAATTTGATAAGTCGACGTCATTATGTCCAGTTTGATCATCCTGGCCATTCTGTCCAGCAGGTTTTATCACAAGTTGCTCTGATGATGAGAGTGTAATGGTGTCAGATGAGGGGAGTGAAGGTGAATTCCGGTTCAGTGCCTCGTCCACCACAGGGTGCTCCTCAAGGCCAGGGATCTCTGTAACAAAAATGAAACATTATATGTAGTTTAGTCTTTCCTAAATAGGATATTTATCTTTTATCAAAGAAGCATTTAATTTTAATCTGTGAATCATTATAGCATATGTTTTGAATTAATTTAATTTAAAGTTATATTCTCAAACATTATCCACTAAACATTCAGAATAATTTTACAATAAACTCAGATGTAATCTTTACTAAATTGACAATGTCAAGGAAAGTTCTTAAATACCAATGAAACAATATGCATGCAAAATTATAATAGGTCAAAAAACAAACAAGAGGCCCAATGGGCCTGAATTGCTCGCCTGGTATTAATCTCATACTTGTAATCTTAAGGGTGGACTAATATACAGCTACAGGCAAAATATCTGTGTTCGATCCATTTGAATCTATTAAATGATTAAAACATATGACACCTGCGACCTTGAAAGTTTATAGCCTTCCGTCCCGGCATATTTCTGGCTAAATATCATTACCCTGGACCTTTTGAATATTCAGAACAAGTCATTTAAATATTTAAACATATTTGATCCCTGTGACCTTGAATATGAGCAAAGGTCATTCATTTAAACAAACTTGGTAGCCCTTCATCCCAGCATGTTAATGGCCAAATATCATCATCCAAGGCCTTTTGGTTATTGAGAAGAAGTTGTTCAAAGGTTTAAAACATATTTGACCCCTGTGACCTTGAAAATAGATGAAGGTCATTTATTTGAACAAACTTGGTAGCCCTTCATCCCAGTTTGCTTCTGGTCAAATATCATCACCCTAGCTAGGCCTTTCGGTCATTAAGAAGAAGTCGTTTAAAGTAAAATATTGACGCCGGACGGATGAATGGACGGACGGACGACGGACGGAGCACCATGGCATAAGCTCGCTTGGCACTTTGTGCCAGGTGAGCTAAAAATGTGTGTGGGGGGGGGGGGGGGGGGGGGAGAAATTAAATCAAGTTGTGTAGAGGTTGGTAATGTCAAATAACATAGAAACTAACCTAAACACAGGCCAAAACGAGGAGAGAAAGGAGTAGCAATAACAGTGAAAGGTTTTGAGGTTAGTAAAGTCATTTAACATAGACAGGCCAAAACATGGGGGAGAAAAGAGTAGAATTTAAATCAAGAGGTGAGGAGAACGGAGAAGCCAAATATCACTGCAGTAAAGCTATATATACAGGCTAAAAGATGGGGGAGACGGGGTTAGGAATTACTTGGTATAGAGGTTGGTAGAGGTGTAATAACCAGCACCACACAAGGTGGTCCAGACAGCAGGCCTTGGAACCTCCATGTTACTTATCTACTTGATCTAATCTGGTCCCTTAATACAGCATTATGTAACAGACATCCACCCCCATTATAGTCCCTGGGGTAGTAAGCACATAGACCGCATCATCTGCTGTAGTATATGTAATAACTCCCGTTTTACACAGTCAATATTCCTAGTCAGATGTATGCTTGATGGAAAAACCTGTCTCCATGATGATTTTGTATTCAAATGGAGATCACATAATGGATCTAGCAATTTCAACAATTTTTGAACTACCGTATAAGAATCTTGGGAGTGTGTGTGCTCCTTTGAAATTTTGTCTCAGGAAAGGTTTTATTTTATTTAATCTACAAATGATTAAATAACTTGATATCAAAATTCGTAAAATTGTATTTGGATAATACTAGCATCAATGTTTAGCAGTTTACAGACGTATGGTTGGTGTACAGAAGCTGGAGTGACCTTATACACACTGTTATACTTTGCAGTGTTGCTCCATTCCATTCATGTGCAGCTTATTAAATGCATGGCTGTGCTGAACATGACCCGCCTGTCAAATACAAATGCATCACAAACTGGTCATTGCAGTGGTCTCCGGGGGATTGGGAAGTGATGAACTGAACGCCAATCAGGTGCGATCGAGTGGCCAACTATTGAACAGAGCTGTAATGTAAACTGCCAGACAGCAGGCAAGACAGCCTGCAAGCTCCACAATTGATTTCCAGGAAACATGGAGACCGGATGGAGAGTGCCAGAATGTGACATCCACCATAACTCATGGGCACGATCTCCTGTGTCCAGTGCGTAAGAGATAGCCCGAGTCAGCTGAGGTCAGTCAAGATCGGTAAATCAGCATCACTTAAGAAATAATTCCTAAGTCCCTTGTTGACCACATGATCCAGTCATTTATTCTATATTACGATAGGAGGTCATTTACAGGAAGCCATTAATGGCCTAGACTAACGTATGTTTTTACAATGTAGAGAAATTTAAACCAAGGTGGTTGATTTATGACAATATGACAAAAATACACCATCAGCTGTTTCCAATTAGAAAACAGTCATGTGTAAAAGTTCTCTGCTTTTCTGCCTTCACACTATTTTGAGTAGGTACATTTATATAAAGGTTGCACAATGGAAACTGAAGTATATTACTATGACAAAATCACAAGATCACTGACATCATATTACATTTAGTAACATCATCTTGAGCTGACAGACATCATAATATATCACAATGACAACATCACAAAATAACTGTCTGACAACATATACAACATCATCATACAACATCATGAGCTAACCGACACAATAACATACAATTTGTATTACCATGACAACATCACAAGATCACCGACATCCTATAACATATTACCATGACAACATAACAAGATCAGTGACATCCTATATCATATTACCATGACAACATAACAAGATCACTGACATCTTGTAACATATTACCATGACAACATCACCGTGAAGATCACTGACATCATACAACATATTACCATGACAACGTCACAAGATCACTGATATCATACAACATATTACCATGACAACATCACCAGATCACTGACATCCTATAACATATTACCATGACAACATCACAAGATCACTGACATCTTATAACCTATTACCATGACAACATCACAAGATCACTGACATCATATAACATTACCATGGCAACATCAGAAGCTGAAGAACACCATATTTTCATAACATCAAAAGCTGATCATGACAGACAACATAACATATTACCATGACAACATCAGGAGCTTCTTCTGTAAATATAACACAATGAGCACATTGTTGTTTACCTGTACTTTTATATTTAAAGTATCCGGAGCCTACCGAAGCCCCTTATTGACTAGATGTCAACTGCACAACAAGGCTTTGGAAGCCGGTGAAGAAATGCTGTATTATGAGATTGCTTACAACTAACTCTGTTAGCTTGTCTTTAACCATTCCTGGCCTGGGGCACTGTTCGTGCAATGCTAACCATGTTCTACTAAAAGGATCTACAATATGCCTTGATAACATTAGATGACAAGAAAGGCATCATATTTCAACACCAATATAATACAGGGGTTACATGATGATGTTCACAGAGATAGCTATATGTGACTTACTTTAAAAAGAAATGATCAAATCTTGTCGAACTATGATCATGACCTACTCTTAAAAGAGATCTAATTGCATTATGACATACATGTACCCTGAAGAGATCTCAACATCTAATCCAAAATATGACCAAACCCTAAATTAAGACTAAAAGATCTGGCATTAAGTGTCACCATGACAGCACATGTTGAAATGAAGAGATTAAATGGTAGATATTTAGTGGCAATAAGTAAACTGACCTGAGGAGATCTATTCATATCTTGTGGTCGAATGACATAACTTTATCAAGAAATATCTACACATCCTGCAGCCCCATACCATGCCCCATTTAGAAGCCCCTTGAGGTAGTCTCTGAGCAGAGATTGCATCGTTTAGTGGCTCCGTGTCCGTGATGTATCCTGTGGTGGAACGTCTCTATCCTACACAGGGTCAGGTGTTAAATTCCACCAGAAAAATAAGTGAAGGCAGAGATTTAATATATGTGTGCAATATGTATACTACAGGTTCGCACTTAGTGAAAACGAAGGAATTCTTGTCTGCTCCTTGAAATGAATTTATCTCTAAAAATCTTATTATCATGCCCTTTACCGGTTCAAGAGTGACACAATCGATGGCTGTGGACTTTTATTCCACAACAAACCGTTTCATCAAGAAATGGATTTATCTTCGCGCATGAGCTGAGGTGGTATGTGTTTTATCTCTGCAGTGTCTATGGAGGTATTCCATCAAACTCGGGACTGACCACTTCCCTATTTCACCAAGATTAACGCGCACATCGCCACAATAAGTAGTCACTAATCTGTACAACTTCCTGTGTTCGTGACATAAACTGTGGCCGTCAGTCTAGGTGGCTGTTATCTACGCACACTACAAAGGATTCTGACTTCTTCATCCAAACAAATCTTGCCCCTATATACTATACCATAAAGAACATAGTTAAACAAATTCTATCCAAGATAAGTTGGGAAAATTAACATTTTGGCATTAAATTGGTTAAGTCTTGAACTTTATATTTGGTGAATAATGGTTAACAAACCAATTCAATCAAAGGGGACAAGTAATTTTACCAACAATCCAGCCTGGAAATCAGTCATCTTACAGACCATTTAGACTCTGAACAATTTACCTAACAGGCCACTTAGACCCTGAACAATTTACCTAACAGGCCACTAAGACCCTGAACAAATTACCTAATAGGCCACTTAGACCCTGAACAAGTTACCTAACAGGCCACTTAGACTCGGAACAACTTATCTAACAGGCCACTTAGACCCTGAACAAATTACCTAAAAGGCCACTTAGACCGTGAACAAGTTACCTAACAGGCCACTTTAAGACTCGGAACAACTTATCTAACAGGGCACTTAGATCCTGAACAAGTTACCTAACAGGCCACTTAGACTCTGAACAATTTACCTATCAGGCCACTTAAACCCTGAACAAGTTACCTAACAGGCCACTTAGACCCTGAACAAGTTACCTAACAGGCCACTTAGACTCTGAACAAGTTATACCTAACAGGCCACTTAGACCCTGAATTATTTACATTCCAGACCAATTACACTATGGACTAGTTACCATACAGACCTCTTGGACTCTGTGCTCAACTTTCCTA